CAAAAAGATCGAGTTCATACTTTGCATATTTTCAGACCAAAACGCTATGAAACTCGAAATCAACCAAAAGAAAAAATTTGGGAAGACCATGAAGACTTGGAGATTAAAGAACATCCTACTAAAGAATGAAAGGGTTAACCAAGAAATCAAAAAGTACATTTTAGCCAATCAAAATGAAAACACGACAGTCTAAAACCTCTGGGATACAGCAAAGGTGGTCATAAAAGGGAAGTATATAGCAATCCAGGCCTTCCTAAGGAAAGAAGAAAGGTCTCAAATACAAAACCTAACCTTACACCTAAAAGACCTGAGAAGAACAGAATGTAAAGCCCAAAACCAGCAAAAGAGGGGAAATAATAAAGATTAGAGCAGAAGTCAATGATATAGAAATGAAACAAAACAAAACAAAACAAAACAAAACAAAACAGTAGAACAGATCAGTGAAACCAGGAGCTGGTTCCTTGAAAGAATTAACAAAACCCCTAACCTAAAATCATGAATGAAAGAGAAGAGATCACAACCAATGCAACAGAAATACAAACAATAATAAGAGAATATTATGAGAAATTATATGCCAACAAATTGGGCAATCTGGAAGAAATGGAAAAATTCTTAGAAACATATAAACTACCAAAACTGAAACAGGAAGAAATAGAAAATTTGAACAGACCCATAACCAGTAAAGAAATTGAATCAGTAATCAAAAATCTCCCAACAAAAAAGAGTCGAGGGCTGGATGCCTTTAGAGAGGAATTCTCCCAAACATTTAAAGAAGAGTTAACACCTATTATTTTGAAGCTGCCCCAAAAAATAGAAATGGAAAGAAAACTTGCAAACTTATTCTAAAAGGCCAGCATTACCTTGATTCCAAAACCAGACGAAGACCCCACTAAAAAGGAGAACTACAGACCAACTTCCCTGATGATCTTGGATGCAAAAATTCTCAACAAGATACTAGCAAACCGGATCCAACAATACGTTAAAGAATTATTCAACATGAACAAGTGAGATATTTACCAGGGATGCAGGGCTAGTTTAATATCCGCAAATCAATCAATGTGATACATAACATTAATAAAAGAAAGGATAAGAAGCACATGATCCTCTCAATAGATGCAGTAAAATCATTTGACAAAATACAGCATCCTTTCTTGATAAAAACTCTCAAGAAAGTAGGGAAAAAAGAACATACTTCAAGATTATAAAGGCCATATACTAAAGATCCACAGCTCATATCATCTTCAATGGGGAAAACCTGAGAGTTTTCCCCCTAATGTCAGGAACATGACATAGATGTCCACTCTCACCACAGTTATTCAACATATTGTTGGAAGTCCTAGTGTCAGCAATCAGACAACAAAAAGAAATAAAAGGCATCCAAATCATCAAGGAGGAAGTCAAACTTTCACTCTTTGCAGATGACATGATACTCTATGTGGAAAACCCAAAAGACTCCACCAAAAAACTGCTATAACTGATAAATGAATTCAGCAAAGTTGCAGGATATAAAATCAATGTACAGAAATAGGTTACATTTCTATACACCAATAATGAAGCAACAGAAAGAGAAATCAAGGAATCAATTCCACTTACAATTGCACCAAAAACCATAAACTACCTAGGAATAAACCTAACCAAACAGGTGAAAAATCTAAATACTGAAAACTATAGAAAGCTTATGAAAGAAATTGAAAAAGACACAAAAATGGGAAAACATGTCATGCACATAGATTGAAAGAACAAATATTGTTAAAATGTTGATACTACCCAAAGCAATCTACAGATTCAATGTAATCCTTATCAAAATAATGCCAGCATTATTCACAGAACTAGAACAAACAATTCTAAAATTTTTGTGAAAACAGAAAAGACCCTGAATAGCCAAAGTAATGTTGAAAAAGAAAACCAGTGCTGGAGGCATAACAATTCCGGACTTCAAGCTGTATTACAAAGCTGTAAGCATCAAGAAAGTATGGTACTGGCACAAAAATGGACACTCAGATCAATGGAACAGAATAGAAAACCCAGAAATGGACCCACAAATGTATGGCTAACTAATCTTTGACAAAGCAGGAAAGAATATACAATGGAGAAAAGAGAGTCTCTTCAGCAAATGATGTTGGGAAAACTGGACAGTGACATGGAGAAGAATGAACCTGGACCACTTTCTTTTACCATACACAAACATAAACTCAAAATGGATGAAAGACCTAACCATAAAACAGGAAGCCATCAAAATCCTAGTATAGAAAACAGGCAACAACCTCTTTGACCTTGGCCTCAGCAACTTCTTACTCAACACATCTCCAGAGGCAAGGGGAAACAAAAGCAAAAATGAACTATTGGGACCTTATCAAGATACAAAACTTCTGCACAGCAAAGGAAATAATCAGCAAAACTAAAAGGCAACTGATGGAATAGAAGAAGATATTTGCAAATGACATATCAGATGAAGAGTTAGAATCCAAAATCTATAAAGAACATATCAAACCCAACACTGAAAAACAAATAATCCAGTGGAGAAATGGGCAAAAGACATGAATAGACAGTTTTCCAAAAAAGATATTCATATGGCTAACAGACACATGAAAAGATGCTCAACATCTCATTATCAGGGAAATACAAATCAAAACCACAATAAGATACCACCTCACACCTGTCAGAATGACTAAAATTAACAACTCAGGCAACAACAGATGTTGGCGAGGATGTGGAGAAAGAGAAACCCTTTGTACTGCTGGTAGGAATGCAAACTGGTGCAGCCACTCTGGTAAACAGTACGGAGGTTCCTCAACAAATTAAAAATAGAACTACCCTATAACCCAGCAATTGCAGTAGTAGGTATTTACCCAAAAGAGAAAAAAATGCTGATTCGAAGGGCACATGCACCCCAATATTTATAGCAGCACTATTGACAACAGCCAAAGCATGGAAAGAGCCCAAATGTCCATCAACCGATGAATTGATAAAGAAGGAATGATATGTGTGCTTGTGTGTATGCATGTGTGTGTGTGTGTATATATATACGTATATATATTTTTATATATGTATATATATATACGTATATATATATATATAGTGGAATAGTACTTGATGATCAAAAAGAATGAAATCTTGCCATTTGCAGCAACGTGGATAGAACTAGAAAGTATTATGCTATGCAAAATAAGTCAGAGAAAGACAGATATCATGATTTCACTCATATGTGGAATTTAAGAAAACAACAGATGAACATAGGGGAAGGGAAGCAAAAATTAGATAAAAACAGAGAGGGAGACAAACCATAAAGGACTTTTAAATACAGAGAACAAACAGGGTTGCTGGAGGGTGTTGGGTGAGCAGGGTGGGCTAAATGGGCAATGGGCATTAGGAGGGCTCTTGTTGGGATGAGCACTGGGTGTTATGTAAGTGATGAATTACTAAATTCTATTCCTGAAATCATTATTACACTACATGTTAACTAACTTGAATTTTAAAAAACAAAAACAAAAAACGTTTTAGGGTGCCTGGGTAGCTCAATCATTAAGCATCTGACTTTGGCTTAGGTCATGATCTCATGGTTAGTGAGTTCAAGTCCCACACTGGGGTGAGCTCAAGCCCCAATTCAGGTAAAACATGAGCACCACTTCTCTCTCTCTCTCTAACCCCTCATAGGATTCTCTCTCTGCCCCTCACTCACTTGTATCCCCCCCAAAAAAAACTTACAGAAAAAGTTGAAAACTAACTCTATTCGTGTCATAAAATATTTCTTACATAGTCCCAATTTTGTAGTAATTATAACATTTCATTGTGATTTTTACTTTCTTATCTCCTTTACTGAACTGTGATCCCCATGACATAGGGCATATAGTTTAATTTCTTTGTATCCTCAGTACCTAGTCACTGCTGGTTTACACAAAGTAGGTGCTCATATTTATGGAACTAATGAATACATACTGATTTTATTGTAATAAATAAATATTCATGTAATTGCTATCTTTTGCCCATTAAATACATTCTGTAAACTATAAGGTAACTACTCTTAGATTACAGAATATACATTCTATGAGGTGCTTTGAACTAATAGTTTCAGAAGTTTAATTTTCAAAGACTGCAAAAACACTTCTGTTGAGCATTCCCTATCAAAGGGTAGGCAGTCTATAAGTTGTTGCTGAATGAAAGTTCTTTGTTTTGAATGCCAATGGAAGGAAAATGAAATGACCAACATAATAAAACAAACAAGAACTAGGAAAGATACAATAAAGTAGGGGCAAGATAGAAAGGTTGAACTCATTAACATTATAAAGACTATTCAAGGGGCGCCTGGGTGGCTCAGTCAGTTGAGCATTCAACTTGGGCTGAGGTCATGATCTCATGGTTCATGAGTTCAAGCCCTGCATTGGGTTCTGTGCTGACAGCTCAGAGCCTGGAGCGTGCTTTGGATTCTGTGTCTTCCTCTCTCTGCCCTTCCCCTGCTCACACTCTGTGTATATCTCTCTCTCTCAAAAATAAATAATTTTAAAAAAAAATAATAACAAAGACTGTATTCAAACATTTCCAGTATTTTTTTTTTACAAACAAAGAAATAAATCTTTTATTTATAAAAAATAAAAGATTTTAATATGCAAGGCATTTCAGGACACTAAAAAGTTAGAAGAAAATAGTTGTTTGGTGAATTTAGGAGGAAAATGGATCATGCCAAATGCAATTGTCAAGAAGGATAGTTCTTACAGTTGGACCAAGAAAATTTCTTGACCAGAAAAACTAATTTTTTCTTTCTGAAAATGGCAAGTGAATTTCTGAGTGAAATTTCCATGCTGGAAAGAGATAATTTTTTTTCTTCAAATAACATAAAATAGGTGGACAAAGATTGTATTTACCACAGAACTTGAAGTTCTTCATTGTTTTAGTTTGTCTTTGCCTTACTGTTAATGAACAGACTTTGTAAATCTCTTATGTTAATCCTATTACCTGTTCAGAGCTATTTCTGCCAGGGTCATCAATATTCAGGGATCTTAAATCTGAGCTTAAACCTGTCCAAGTTCAAGTGAAGTTCAGTAAACAGGCCTTCTCATCTACTGAACATAACCAAGGATACGAGGCACATAGAACCAAACTGTGAGTCTGCAAGTAATCTTCTTCATACAATTTTTTCTTTTCTTTTTTTTTTTTCTTTCTTATTTTTGGGACAGAGAGAGACAGAGCATGAACGGGGGAGGGGCAGAGAGAGAGGGAGACACAGAATCGGAAACAGGCTCCAGGCTCCGAGCCATCAGCCCAGAGCCCGACGCGGGGCTCGAACTCACGGACCGCGAGATCGTGACCTGGCTGAAGTCGGACGCTTAACCGACTGCGCCACCCAGGCGCCCCTTCTTCATACAATTTTTAAACTTTTACCTTGGGGGAAAGAATACTGATTTTAATGCTCATGGGTGTTCTTTTAAAATATTTCAAAGTAACATTCAGTAATGACTTATCTAACTGTAAAACAAATTCCGCGGATCTTTCCCTCTTAAAGAGATTGGCACTACTCATCTTCACTAATGTAAATTCAGAGTAAACACATAATTTTGAACTTGATATTCCAGACTCAAAGATAGTTATTTCAGATAGTTAAATAAAACCATGGAAAGCGAATTAATTTTGAAATTTAAAATTCTTCAGTCCTCCTTTTGAGTGAAGAGAGAATTGAAGGAAAGAAGGGATGATTCCTTGCACTTTGCATTTGAAGATATGACTCCTGAGCTGTGAAAGGGAGTATTACGCTCAGTGAGAAAGCATTCTCAGGCTTAGAACCAGGCACTTAACCAGTTGTGTGTTCTTGTTTTTTGTTTTATTTTTAGTATTACATTTTTGGGGTTTTTACAGGGAGGGGTTGTCTATTTAAGTGGGGATAATAATAGCTGTTTCAGAAGGTTACTTCAAAAATTTAATGACACAGAAGTAATGTTTTAAAAGAAAAGAAGAAAAGAATAGGGGCTTCTGGGTGGCTCAGTCGGTTAAGCGGCTGACTTTGGCTCAGGTCATGATCTCATGGTCTGTGAGTTCGAGCCCCGCGTCAGGCTCTGTGCTGACAGCTCGGAGTCTGGAGCCTGTGTCGGATTCTGTGTCTCCCTCTCTCTCTGCCTCTCCCCTGTTCATGCTCTGTCTCTCTCTGTCTCAAAAAGAAATAAACGTTAAAAAAAATAAAAAATAAATAAAAGAATATAGGGAGTTTGTGGATATTTGTTAAATTAGGTGCAATTTTTCTTTTGATTGATTATATTTCCTTCTATTTTGCCTCATTGTGGAGGTAATTATGATTAATAATAATCTTTACAGTTTGCCTCATGAAAATGAAGTAAAATTTTCCCATTGTTTTGTCATTGAGTTTTTTTATTAACTTCAAAAATAGCTTTCAACTATAGCATCCATTTATATATATATCCTATACGTATATATATCCTAACATTAAAGCTAGAAAAAAATTTTAGAGGTCATCTAACTCATCATGGCAATTTTTTGAGTAAATATTATGTTTATAAAATGCATTTGAATTACAGAAGTTGTCAAGATATATATGAACCATTCATAATAATGCGTCTACTGTAATTATAACAGTAAGTGCTAAAGTAAGTATAGTTACGAGATATACAGATATTCAAAACAAGGTATCTGCTCTGAATTTCCAGCAAGATTCCAACATTTCTATTTGCTTCAGAACAACTAAGGAAATGTCTGTAGTAAGAGAAATGTTTGTAGTAAGAGCAAACTTGAATAGGTTAATGTCTTTTTCTTTCATTAGGAGCAAAAACTCAGTTATAATTTGGAAGCTTATATTTTCCCAGGATATTTGTAACTGATGATACTGGCTGACAAATAGAAGACTGCCATATGCTATGCATTCCTGACATACAAATTGTTTAAAAGACTCCTTACATCTTCCACCTGTCCAGTCTCATTTATAACAAAATGAGACTCAAAACAATTTGAGAAGAATAGGAACCATTAACCATTATATATACTCTGCAGTGTCTCTTATCAAAGTTTCTATCATAATTCTTCTATCTAAGTTGTTATGAACTTTAGATACCAGGGAGAGTGAAAGTGATAAAGGGATGTTTTCGATGGCATCAAGGTGTGTGTTTTATATGTAAGGGAAAGAAAAGTAACGTTTGCTTGGTGTCAACCATTTGCTCAGCATCTATTTGTGACAGCCATTTTGAGGATAGTGTGTGCTATAATCCATTCATGATTCTGCGGATTTATTAAGAAAAATACTTTCATTACGATAAAAAACAATGTGAAAGTTGACCTACCCCAAAATTAACAACTAGAATGACTAAAGGCAGCAACATAAATCCTGAGTATTGTAACTATCTCTGCAAAGTCCTCCTCCATTAAATAACCGAAATTCAGAAAAAATATATAAACCACTATGACAAAAATGGAAAATCAAATTTAAATCACCACCTCTCATTTTCCACTTATGCACTTTTCAGAAAATCTTACTATTGTTTTCCAGGCATTTTCATGTACGTTTTATTAGTCTGTATTTCAGGCTAATTAGCCTGTATTACCTGTATTAATCAACCTGAATTAGCCTGTAATTCACCAAATGAATCTCCCCTCAGGTTTCACATTCTTAAATGTCTTAAATGTTTTATGGCAAACAGACCTTACTAGAAGTATATCAAAGTATTAGGATAAAGATAACCAAAGTATTAGCATAAATCAAAGTATTAGGATAAACTTTAGTTAATAAAATAGAATAGAAAACAATTCTGAGATAAATGTATAATATATGTGTGACTGTGTACACACACATGTACACACACACACACACACACACAGATATTCTTGGGTGGGAGAGATAATTAGACATAAGCAGTGCATAAATGCATTGATTCCAAAACAAAATTTATATTGATTTGAAAACATCTATTATTAATTTTAAATATTTTATTTTAGTATTTAAAATTTTTAATTATTTACTAATTATCACTTTTGCTCAACATCTATTAAGTTCCTACAACTAAATATTACACATTTTACATGATACATTGCATATCATTTAATACTCACACAGCCTTTTGAAGTGGCCACTATTATTACTCCAATTTTACAAATAAGAAAACTAAAACACAGAGAGATTTTGTGATTTGTTCAAGGTCACCCAGTCAATAATTGGTAGGGCTATATTTGAACCCAAGTGTCTATGTATTACTATGTTCTACTGTCACTCGAAGTATTGTAATGAATGGTTCTTACCCACAAGAAGCTTAGCTACTCCTCAGAGGAGAAGACATATATAATTAATCAATTGGAGAATTATTCAAGAAATTAACTGACATATTATGAGACATAAAATTCCCTCTACATTGATACTGGACCTAACATAACATTACTCTTACTAGAAATCTCCAGTTCTCAATGTCAGTAAATAAAATAGAGGGGTGGTATAGAGAAAGAAGAAATTATGTCTTATGTGAAATCATTATAACTATCTTTATGATTTGAGAGGTAATGGAGGTCTCCACAAACCCAGCAATAACTCCTATGATATGACATGGTGCTATTAGATCTATCTGATGTGAAATTCCCAGCACTTTTTTACTAATAAAGGAAAAGCAGAATTGTTTGCTATAGGAGTCCAATATGACATTGGGAAAGATAGTCATGGCAAGGGTTAAAACATCTGACATTAATATATTAGCATTGGTGAGAACATTAGCCTGGCTTAGTTGATCAGATTAGTTCACAGTCACCTTGGAAAACAGGAGAGCACAGACCTAAGGAGATGTATGGTTAGAGGTAGAAAAGGGTAGGATGTGAAGCCCTGTAAGAGTGACACCCTTAATAAAGCACAGATCAAGGCACAAAATCAGGGTTTCTATCAAAAATAAGTCAGTCAGAGAAATACAAATACTTCATGATTCCATTCATGTGGAATTTAAGAAACAAAACAAACTAACATGGATCGGGGGTGGGGGAGAAGAGAGACAAACCAAGAAACAGACTCTTAACTATAGAGAACAAACTGATGGTTACCAGAGGAGAGGAGGGGGGAAGGGGTTAAATAGGTGATGAGGATTGAGGAGGGCAGTTGTGATGAGCACCGGGGTTGTATGCAAGTGTTGAATCACTAAATTGAACACCTGAAGCTGATATTACACTATATGTTAACTAACTGGAATTTAAATAAAAACTAAACAAAAAAGAAGTGAAGGTGAAGCAGAATTTCTATAGATTTTTCTCCACCTAGCAATTAAAAAAATTTTTTTTCGCATTTATTTATTTTTGAGAGAGGGAGAGAGAGAGCACGAGTGGGAGAGGGACAGAGAGAGAGAGGGAGACACCGGATCTGAAGCAGGCTCCAGGCTCTGAGTTGTCAGGGCAGATCCCAGTGCGGGGCTCAAGCTCACGAACTGGGAGATCATGACCTGAGCCGAAGTCGGAAGCTTAACCAACTGAGCCACCCAGGTGCCTCTGTTTGTTTTATTTCTTAAATTCTACATGTGGGTGAAATCATTTTGTATTTGTCTTTCTCTGACTGACTTCTTTCACATAGCATGATACTCTCTAGTTCCATCTATGTTGTTACAAATGGCAAGATTTCATTCTTTGTTATGCCTGAATAGTCTACATTCTATTGTAGTTAGTACAGACACCAATACTTTCCTCAGGGCATCAGTGCAACCCAGAAACTGGCCAAGGAAATAACTGGCATTTATATTATTTGGCATGCAGGGGCTTCCTGCCCTATGTTTTTATAGAGCCTTCTATGTTATCTCAGGAATATGGGTCTAGAAGCAGGGAAAGAACTAGTGAAGAATCCAAAAAAATGGACAAGTTAATCCTAGGTATGCCTCATTGCACTAATTGTAATTCTTAGACGATAGATGGTGAGTCCTGAGAAATCCAGAGGCTGCAAGGCTTCAGAAATTAAGGAAAAGGCAGGCTAGGCAGACTCAGAAATAACAGCCAGCATCTAACATAATTTAGATAATTTATCACAAAACAGAACCAGGGGCTATGGACTGAATTGTGCCCCCACAATTCATGTTGATGACCTAACTCTAACTGTGATGGTATTTTGAGATACTAATTAGTAAGGAAGGAAATAATGGTTAAATGAGAGCACAAGGGTA